AATCAGCTTGTCAGACTTCATATACAAAAGCTATGTAGTTTCTTTTGGGGAGACTGGGTATTAATCTACACTGTAGATTACATTTGGGCAGAATTAACATGTTTACAATATTAAGTACTTCTTTCCATGAACAGGATAATACTCTTTATTCAGGTTTTCATTAATTTGTTGATACAGCAGCTGTATATATTTCATTTTTATTATGTATTTTATATATAAATACATATATTAGATGCCAGTATTTGTTATGGTACTTTACAAGCTATTGTTCCTTAATTTCATGGTCAAACATCTTGTTACTGCAGAATTAAAGTGTATGTTTTTATCCTGATGTCTTACTCAAGAACTTTTACAAATACTTTTATTGATATAACAGATTATCCTTATTTGTGGTTTCTGTAGGTATCCTTTACTTGTAATATATGTTTTTTTTTTATCATGAATGAGTGGTAAATTTCATAAAACACTATGATTGACTTTTTTTAACGTGAAATCCTCCTTTCATTCCTAGGAAAAACTTCGATCTATCACATATGTCTGTGTATATATGCATACTAAAAAATTTCAGGAGTATAATGGAGAGACTTACTCAACTTAAAAAAATTTCAAGTATTACACATAAAGGTCTACAGTGTTAGCTGTAGGAAAGGGCCCAAATGCTACTTGGGTATGATAGCACTAAACAGATTTACCAGAAAAATATTTAAAGCATCCAAATGATTCAAGAGTTATTGAAACAGCAGCATATTACATCCAGATAATTAGAAGGCAGGAATAATGAAGATGAATGCAGAAATGATGACGCAGATGACAGCAGAGCCAAATAATGAAAGCCAGTTCTTTACAAATATTTCTGTAGCACCTTCTGTAGGTCTTACCAGTTACAAAAGAAAGAAGCAGAAACAAGTGATAGTAAATAAAATTCTACCAAGTCTGTGTGTAGAGGAGATTTACAGGCTGTAATTAACAATCTAAATACTTTTACCATGATGTCAGGATAACAAAAGGTAGAAAAGGAAAAGGTTCTACCTAGAGAGTTATTTTAGCTAATAGAGACAAAAGAATGACAGAATTACCATTGGGCAGCCCCTGATGGATTAATGGATGAGGGTGATGATCCTCAGTGACTGCTAACATCACCACAAAGGGATCACAGACATTATGTACTTCCTAATGGAAGTGCACAGCGGGGCCCTCTGGAGAAGTGTTACCACTAAACAAACAAATAAACTTCAATCCGATTAAGCTTCTTCCTGTTACTGCTGAGTATTACTGATGCAGAGAACCAGGTACACGGGGTTCAATATTCTGTTCTCTGAATGTTTGAGAATTTCAGTGATAATGTGATTTTCTTTTAAATAGCATGCCTTTAAATTTAAAAATCCAAGAGAAATGGACTATTTTTCAGCAAAAGAGAAATGATTAAATCGGTTCATACATAAATAGAAAACTTACGTTAACCATATAAACTAAAACTGTAGGTAAAACACAAGGTACCCTCAAAATGTTCCCGGACCAGCCAAATGTGAAGTCTCCTTACACCAAATGCTGAAGGAGAAACGAATAAAACTTCTATATAAACTCTGTCAAACTATACAAAAAGAAGGGAAATGACTTACCTGCTCTAATGCCTTAGCTGTCTTTGATACAAAGACCAAATAAGGATATCCTGAAAAAAAAAGCACTTGACCTGGGCTCACTCCTACTGAGACAAATAACATAAACAACTTCACAGCATATGCAATACAGTGGCCAATAAAGACGTAAGTCCAAGGGATGCAAACATGGTATCATGTTAGAAAATATGAATCAGAATTCACTACATGAAGGGGTGGGGGGAGAAGCATCTGACAACGTGCAGGGGTAAAGAAAGAACTTTTGACAGAAATTCTGCACCATTTCATGATAATAACTTTTAGTAAACTTCTTCAATGGAATTTCCATGTTGTAAAATCATGAGCAAATATACATAAATGTGAAATATTAGAAGCATTCCTAATAAAGTTTGCAAAAACAGAATTACAGTCCCACAAACTGGGACATGAATGCATAGCAGGGCACAGCCATGCACAAGAATGAGAAAATAAGAGGTATAAATAATACAAAGAAACAGATAATAATAGTACTAATCTCATAACTAATATATCTAAAGTAATAAGCAAACACAATAATCAAATATATAAGGAATGTCAAATTGCTAGTATATACAAAATCCCTATAGTAAAATCAGAAGCCTGGTCACACAAAATCAATCCCGAATCAGAACACGTAGGGATGACGTACCATTTTCAACAGCAACAGACCTAAAAGGCACCTAAAAATGAAACCTCACAAAACTGCAGGTATTTATGGAGGCAACTAAAAAAATGTACTGATAGAGAAAGAAAATGTTCCACATGGAGCTGTAAAATATGTTTATTCAGGGGAAGAGAATAGTATACAGATATAAATTCCCCTTAAATTATTTAAAGATTTAGAGCCTTACCTGTAGCTTCCAAGATGAAAACTGATCTCAGGCCGCTGTTTCCTGTGCCCAGAATCAGCCCTTGGAAAAACTAAAGGAATAAACAAAACAAGATCAACAACAGTCGTACTGCGAAAGCCCTGAGGGGCACTAAGTGTGCACTGAACTAGGACTTGTGTGGGGGCGGACCCTGAAGTTGAGACAGGTCTGTAGAAGACAGCACTGGTGGGCGGAAAGAGTTTAGGTTTAGCCTTGATTTTCCCAGCCCTGCCCTGGGATACTCAATTACTGGTGCTTCACGGAAGGAACCTCTCTGAAGGCAGCTAGCTCCTCAGGGCCCATGTGCCAGGACTCTAGGGTATACCAGGACGGCACCAAAGTTTAGGTTGGTTGAGGCGGTCTGAGTCAGTGGGTCCGGACACTGCCCTAATAACTACTATAAATTTCTTTTGTTGGTGAGGACTGGGCCTTTATTTTTTGTAGCCATCTCAGTAGATTTTAAGGCATGAATGAAAATAGAACACTTGAGATCTAGTCTCTTAGCAAATTTCAGGTAAATAACACATTATTATTAACTATAGTCACTGTGCTGTACAGGTTTCCAGAACTTACTCATAACTGAAAGACTGTACCCTTTCCTGAGTATCTCTCCCTCTCCTGTCACCACCTAGCCTCTGGTAACCACCATTCTCCTCTGTTACTGTGACTTATATCTTTGTTCTCTCTGTAGATTCCACATGTAAGTGAGATCATATAGTATTTGTTTTTCTGGGTCTGCCAGTTTCACTTAGCATAATGTCCCCCTGATTCATGCATGCTGTTGAAAATGGGATTTCTTAGAATACACATGAAAATGGTAACTATGGAAAGCCATAGGTTGACTAGTTTTTGATAATCATTTCACAGTGTATGCTCATATGAAGGCATCACATTGTGTGTGTGTATATAAAATTTTTATATGTTCAAAACGTAAATATTGAAATAGAATACCAAGTATCATAGTAGTTATACAGAAGACAGAAACTTACCCATGAAACTTTCAGAAATGACAGTGATGTCAGCCAGGAGAGGCCCTAGGGTAAGCGACCAGGCTTAGAAGTACCTCAGTTTCTCCACAGGGTTCTTGAGGACCATGCTGGGGTGGGGGTGGGGGGCGGCGCTGCATTTACAAAAGGGAAGAACTCTAAGACTGTAAAGAACTCCATTCAAGATCCCTATCCCAGAACACTGGACCCCAGAGGATTCTCATTTTCCTGCAGCCACCTCTAGAAGGCCTTAGGGAGGAGTAGCCCAAAGAAGTATACCTTCAGTTCACATCAGGAATCACAGGGACTTGATGGCATTTATATGAGGGGTTGACCTCAAATCAGCAGACGGAGGTTGCCCAGTACCCACAAGCGATCAAGGAAAGACACTGAGAGACGATTCAGGGAGTGAAGTCCTCATCAAAATGCAGAGGCCCCCCAAAAGCTACCAGCTTCTGACTGTTAGACTGGGGAAGCCCCGGGCATGCAGCTAAGCTCAGACACCCAAATACTTCTTACCGGAGGTTGGGAATGAAATGACACCCTTGGTTTCAGGCCAGCACACTCAGCACAGCAGAGGAAGAATTCACTAGACCTGCTAAGACTCAGCAAAAAGCCTTTGTGATCCTGCGGGACTCCCCCCCTGCAATCCAGCACACCACACACTACCCACATCACTCCCTACCCCGCCCAAAGAGCTCCACCCACAGAGCCCCGCCCCCACCGCCCAGGGTCCACCTCCGGGGCCCAGACCCACATGACCGGAAGTGGACCTCCTGGCCCTCGAGAACTTCCTCCGGACCACGCCGTGGGTAGTGAGGCCTTGTCGGACAGCTCTTGCCTAGGGTAAGCCCAAACTGGGGACCTGTATACTGTTAGGGGTCGATGTGCAAGGAGTTCCGGGTTACAACTTTGAGGACACACCTTCGACAACCCCCCAGCCCCAACTCCCCCGAAAAGAGAGGAGCAACAGGCCCTGCCCCGCTCCACCCATGCTCTCGGGGCTCGGAGGCCCCAACATGGCGGTTAAGCCCCAGGTCCCTTCACTTATCTCGCGGGGTCTCAGGGATTGCAGGCCTTGTCGCGGGACTGCCGGACTCTGGCTCAGCTCAGCACAGGCAGAGACCCCCAGGCCTACTGGTGGGAAGGAAATGGCCTTTGAGACGATTGAGGGGAATCCATACCCTAGAACACAGGCTACGCGCAATCCCCCGTCCTGGCCTTGGCCTGGGAGGGTCCGGGCTGGTCAGGAACACTGCCGTCACCCTGGTAACGCCCAGGCAGGGCTGGCTGGCTGGGGCCCAAGGCTCACACCACCTTCCTCCTCAGGGCCCAGGCTGACCAGGGTAACGGGAGCCCTGTGGGGTCCTAGAGCAGTGCCCTGAGGGACCCTGCAGGGGCAGCCGTGGGCAAAGCCAGGGTGGGACCTCTCCACTGAAGGGGCTCCCCCCACTTCACTGTCCCCTCTCTCCAGGTGCCTTCGCTGCCTGCCAGCCCTGACCAGTGTCACCATGCCTCGGCGCCCGAAGAACAAGGCCCGTGCCCGGGAGAAACGCCGCGGTGAGGCTCAGGGTGTCGGGGGTGCTCCTGCTGCTGTAGCAGCAGCAGCAGCAGCAGCAGAGGAGCCCCCCCGCGCTCCCCCGGGCTCCCCGGAGGAGGCGGGTCCATCTTCACCACCCGAAGGTGGCCCGGCCCCTGGGTCTCCTGGCACAGGGTCCCCAGGCCTGCCAGGCGACCAGGGCGCCGAGAACCCGGCCGCGGCTGCGGCCCCGGCCGCCCCTCTGGCCATTCGCAAAACGCCCCTGATCCGCAAGGCCAGCATGCTGGTGCAGTTCCTGCTGGAGAAGCACAGCTCCGGGGAGCCCCTGATGCGCGTGGCGCTGCTGAAGATCATCGGCAGGAAGTACCGCGAGCACTTCCCCGAGATCTTCAGGCTCACCTCCCAGCGCATGGAGCTGGTCTTCGGGCTGGAGGTCCGGGAGGCCGACGACCGCGGCCAGTCCTACACGCTGGTCAGCAAGCTGGCCCAACCCGGCGAGGGCACCCTGGGCGGCGGCAGCAAGGGGCTGCCCAAGTCCGGCCTCCTGATGGCGCTCCTGGGCGTGATCTTCATGAAGGGCAACCGCGCCAGCGAGGAGGAGGTCTGGGAGTTCCTCAACGTGCTGGGCGTGCAGGAGGGCAAGAGGCACCTGGTCTTCGGTGAGCCGCGCAAGCTCATCACCCGAGACCTGGTGCGCCAGGGCTACCTGGAGTACCGCCCGGTGCCCGCCAGCGACCCTCTGCGCCACGAGTTCCTGTGGGGCCCGAAGGCCCGCGCGGAGACCAGCAAGATGCAGGTGCTGCAGGTCATGGCCAAGATCAACGACACGGTGCCCAGCTCTTACCCCCAGCTGTACGAGGAGGCTCTGCTAGACGAGGAGGAGCGCGTGGGGGCCAGACCCCAGGCCAGGGGGTCTGCCGCGAAGGGGGCCCGTAGCAGGCGCCGCGTCTAGTCAGGCAGTCGGGGCGGCTGCTTTTCCCTGGGGTGGAAGAGGGCACCTTCCCAGTAGAGCAGAGCCCTAGGGATCGGAGGGAAAAAAAGCATAGATGTTCCTCCTGTTTGTTCTAAACTGTTAGCCTCTATAAACATATATAGTTATACTTATTGAGTTGTTCTCAAATGTGTTTTTTCTTGTAATAGGTCATTTAGCTCTAGAAGATAAACTTAAGACTGGCATGGATCTCATTTATTGCTGTCTCACAAGGGAGAGTTATAGGTTTGGTATATGAAAAAGAAAGTCACAAACTTTCTATATCTATACTATATTTATGATCCAAAAGCAGATAACATGGCATTGCAAATAGGCATTTCATGAAAATGTGAAAGAAGAACACAGTAAAATACTTAGGAACACAAAATAGAGAAAAAAATTGTTAAAATGTGTTTTAAACAAAAATAAAATGTGTTTTAATTCATGGTTTGCCTCTTCCTTTTAGTCTTAGTGAAAAATAAGATACTTTAATTTAGTTAGCTTAAGAATGTTTGTTTTTGTCCTTGTGCACTAAACATTCTCTGCTATCTACAGTATTAAAAATAAACTTAGATGGGGGGCGCCTGGGTGGCTCAGTGGGTTAAGCCTCTGCCTTCGGCTCAGGTCATGATCTCAGGGTCCTGGGATCGAGCCCCGCATCCGGCTCTCTGCTCAGCAGGGAGCCTGCTTCCTCCTCTCTCTGCCTGCTTGTGATCTCTGTCTGTTAAATAAATAAATGAAATCTTTAAATAAATAAATAAATAAATAAATAAATAAACTTAGATGGGAGGTTGGTATTTTGGGGCTTGATAATAATAACTGCCATTCATTCAGACCCAGTATTTCTTTTTTTTTTTTTTTTTTAGATTTTATTTATTTGACAGAGAGAGAGAGAGATCACAAGCAGGCAGAGAGGCAGGCAGAGAGAGAGGAGGAAGCAGGCTCCCCGCCGAGCAAAGAGCCCGATGCGGGGCTCGATCCCAGGACCCCGAGATCATGACTTGAGCTGAAGGCAGAGGCTTTAACCCACTGAGCCACCCAGGCGCCCCCAGACCCAGTATTTCTTAAAGAGTATGCCAAGTGCTTTATATAGTACAGAAATGCCAACGTTCCTATAGGATAGAGCTTAGCAAACTTCATTTACAGATAAAATGACTTGTAAGTATCTCAAGTTCAAAGGAGTGGTAAGTGACCTTGCTGGGACTGGATCCCTGGTCTGGATTGGTCCCGATCAGTCTAGAGACCCATGCTCTGCCTCTCCTCCCAGCCTAAGCCAAACCTTCTTTTATTTTGTTTTTCTTCCTCTTACTCCAAAATATATCTCATAGATAAACAAAACCCTGACCCAAAGTAGTGTTTTGGAATACACAGCCACAGTAATAGTAATGCTAAGTAAATGAGTAGTGTGAAGAAATAAAATAAATGATAAGAGAGTCTCATAGGCCTTAACTGAATTTAAGGTAAGGGCAATGAGTGCTGATGAATGGACCCCCATAACAGAAAGGGCCATACTAAGGCCGCAGGCAGGGTAAGCCACGGAAAAGCAGGCTGACTTCCCCCTCTAGTGTCTCAGAAAGATGACAACCTTGGTAAAAGGCTGGCAGACTTAGGCTACGCATAATCAAGGTCAAAAACCTGAGCAAAGACTCAGGGGCTACTAACTCCAGAATACTGGGGTGTCATAAAATTCTGCCCCTACTATCACCTTTCAGAAGATCCTAACAGCCCTGGGCAGACAGGATTCATTCTTCTAATTTGGAGCTTCCAAGCAGGTAATGGCCTTAGTCTGAGGAGTATGGCCTTTTCAGGCGAGTGGAGGGTAGAGCCCCACGTTTAGTCATGAGTCAAGATGAAGGATGAGGAGCTAGGGGACCACTCACCCCAGGATCGAGGAGAATGCCCAGACTCCCACCCTTGCTGTCAGACCTAGGAGGCCCAGAGCAAAGCTCTCCAGCTGAGGTGTCCCTGTTTCCATGGGACATGGACTCATGGAGGAGAGGGCCTTTGTCTAATGGGAGCAGCCTTACTCAGTAGAAGGTGGAAACCTACTTCCTCATTTGAGTCAAGCTGATCACTCTAAAGAAAGATAAGTGGACCCCAACCAGAACAGAAGGGGCCACATGGAGCCCCACCACTGATGTCTTCCCTCAATAAACCCAGGAATTGTGGCATGATGAGGCCTACTCACTTCCTTTTAGGGCCATCTCAGTGAGGTGGGGCACTTGGTCTAAAGAACAAGCATTAGGTTAGCAAAGGGAGATATTCCACGTCACACCAAGAACCAAGGATAGGGCCCTACGTAAGAGGGAACCATCCAGATCATAAAAGTGGAGACACAACAGGATACCTCTCCTACTGTCAACTATGTGACCACAGGAAGTTTTGTCACATAAGGCAATCCTAGGTGGTCAGAGGGAATGAAAGGAGTTAGTTTGAGAGAACAGGCTCCCAGGTCATAGAAAGAATCAGTGTAAAGACTCTGAGTGAGGACTAGGGAAACACGGAAACACCCACCGAAGACAGAGAGAGGAACAAACTTGCCACCATCCTCTCAGACCTGAGGAACTCTAGGAAGGAGTACTCATATGTGTCACCCACTGGCTTCCAGCCCCGGGGGACTTAGGTCAGTAGGAGGAGGCATCATAGATCTTGAGAGAGTGAGGACTATAGGTATCACCAGCCTCAGAACAGTAGAGTCCCATAGTTTTGTTCCTTGCTATTAGCTCTCAGAATCTCCAAACAGCTGTGACTAGATGCAACTTACCTGACTTCCACTTCTGGGGACTCAGGGCAGTAAGGTCCATGGTCTGAAGCTAGCATAGGGACAATTTCTAGGTTGTGCCAGAGTTAAGGGTAAGAAGCCTGCAAATGGAGCAGCACATGAAAACCATAACAATGGGGGCAGTGCTGTCAGTCCTGGGAGACATTTGGCTAGCTGGCAAGCAGAGCAAAAGAGCAACTCTCAGCTCCTGTTGGGGTGACAGAGATATGAGGACAGTAATAGGTCAAGAGAGGAAGGAACGAGGCCATCTCTGAGTCAAAGTGAGGACCAGTGAGGCGAACCATCACAAGCTCCAGATTTGCCTACCGCAGGCAGGTGTGGCCCAATATGGCTCTCCTCACTCTTTCTGGTGGGTCTCTGAGAGTTGTGGCCTTACTATGAGGAGATGACTTCAGGCCTCCGAAGATTCAACCTGAGAACGCTGACTGAAGACTGGGGGGGGTGGGGGACACAGCCCAGCCCCTGAATAAAGGAGACAACAAAGAGTCCAGCTTTGCCCCTGCTTTCAGCACTTTAAGGCTCAGGGCAGGGGTGACAAGCAGAAGGTCCCCTATCCCTCCTTTACCTCTAAGGGAGGTAAAATCCTTAGTCGGAAGGTGAAGCCACTAGAGGACAGAAGGGTGGGCCCCAGCCCCTAGGTGGCACACTGAGTAGACTCCTTACTCTAGAACACAGGAGACCCCACGGCCAGCCCCTGCTGTCACCCCAGTAATGCCCAGACAGGGCTGGCTGGCTGGGGCCCAAGGCTCACACCACCTTCCTCCTCAGGGTGCTCAGGGCCCAGGCTGACCAAGGTAACAGGATCCCTGGGGGGGTCCTAGAGCAGTGCCCCCGGGGGACCCTGCAGGGGTGGCCGTGGGCAAAGCCAAGGTGGGACCTCTCCTCTGAAGGGGCTCCTCCCACCTCACCATCCCCCCTCTCCAGGTGCCCTCACTGCCTGCTAGCCCTGCCCAGTGCCCTCAGGCCTCAGGCGCAGGACAGCAACCTTTGCTTCCATGGGAAATGCCCCTGGGGTCTTGAGGGTATGCAGTGTACTGCAGCAGCAGCCAAAGAGTTCCCCCATCCTCCTCCTTGTCTTGGGGGTACTCCCCAGAGGTCCCCTGTTGCTGGCACTCCCCTGGAGCCACAGAGAGCCTATCCACCACTATGGCTACTGTAGTCTAGGGGCTGTTGCCACGTAAGGGAGACTGTGAACTCAACTCTACTTGCACAGAAATGTCAAATTAAAAGAATGGGTGAGGCAGAGGGGAGGTTCCTGATGAGAGCAGCCTCAGGCAAATGCTCTGAAGCAAGGCACTGAGGAGCCTGGTGACACTGCCCCTGCCTTCCAGGAGGTCATTTTAAGTTAAGCAGGAGAGTGGACGAGATGAAGTTGTGAGAACTGTAAGCGAGGAACTGACCCTCAGATGGTGGGTCTCAGAGTTGAGAGACTGAAGACTAGGATGAAAAACTGAAAAAAGTAACTTACTATTTACTTTGGGATGGTGGGTAAAGCAGAGAACATCCCTCCCTGGGGCAGGAACAGAAAGGGTCCTGTGCTCTGGTCCCAGTGCATGTGAACACAGTGCACGAACCAGGGATTTTATGGACATGATCTCTAGGAAATTTCTAAGAAACAAAGGTGACACTCCTCTGAAGGGAGATGTCACTTCACTGTCTTTGCTCTGGCCCGGGAGAGCCAGAACCTACTCCATAAAAGGCGCAGTCTATTAATTAAATTATTTTGAGAGTAATCTGGCAAACCTCTAAAGGAAGGCTAGACTTTCGGTGGTGGTGAAATGAATAAAAATAGGGGTGGTTTGGCTGTAAAGGCATCTGAGAGGGAAACTGTTGGCCCCTGACACAAATACTAGGACCTCTGAATTACATCTAGTTGGGGGAGACTCTTCCACACTCAAATTAAATAAATATTTTCATTCCTTCCAAAGGCATAGCATGTTTTCTGACATCTCATAAAATTAAAAGAAAAAATCCCAAAGGAGTTGGTATTATTCTCTGGTGTCATATTTATCACAGCAACAAATCCTGTTCTTTTAAAGATCACTGTATCAGGTGATTTGCAAACATCGCATCTATTCCCAGGGTCCTACCAAATGGGACACCTCAGACTCACTTTGCAGATGACAAAGCTACGATTTTGTCAAGTTCATTTGGCTTGTAAGTGATAGTGCTGGGACTAGAGCCCTGGTCTGAATGTGTCCTGAGGCCACACTGTGCCACTCCTCCCAGCTGAAGACACACCTAGCGTCCCTTATTTCACTTTTCTTCCCACTACTCCACAACAGATCACAGGCAATATGATGTATTTTATGGGGACTAACATAGCACAACAAAAACAAATAAGCAAAAAAAGAAATTCAAAAAAAAAAGAAAGAAAGAAAGAAAAGGAACCTGTAGCCAAATGTCAAAAGCAGGCCTAAAGGGGCATCGTTAATATGAGAAGAAACCACAGTGTGGGGACTGGCTATAGGCCGCATTTATCAAAGAGCCACCTACACCGGCCTTATGGGTTCTGGAGAGCAGGCTGTGCCCTGGTTCCCAGCACACGTGTTCAGTTCCCATGCTGTCCTGCATTATAGCATTCCTGCCCTGGGCCTTCCCTGCTCTGCCCTCACGTCCCACTCTAGAATCCCTTAACGGTGTGGTATTTGAGACTGGCCTCTGAACAAAGACACGGTTGAGGGAGCTTAACCAAGTGGTCAATAACCAAAGCCTCCCTGGCAATTTGGGGATGAGGAACGACCTGGGATCTCACTATGTAGCAAGCACCTGCTGACGCTGAAATCCTCAGAAGCCCAGAGCACTTCTGTGAGAAGAAAGTGGTTCCTTGGGAGACACACTGTCTTGGAACAGCAAAGATCAAAATCGTTCAGCACCGTTCTGTTGCCTCTTATCTCAGTCCTCGCCCCAGAGGAATACCTTGGTTTTTCCTCACCTACTCGTGCTTGTAAAGTGTCCTGCATGCCCAGTTATGCTGAGGGTTGCCCGGACCCATGAGCAAAGCTTCTGACCATGCTTCAAGAGGAGAACTTTCTCACCCTATTGAGACTTTAGACTCTATTCAAGAGATGAGTGCAGAAAGGATGAGAATGTTCTTTTATTTACTATATGTCTATATTTAACATGTTTCATTTTTCCTCTTGTGTTTTGAACAAATGGAGTAATCATACATCTTGTGAAGCCTCATCTCATCGCACTAGCATGTTTCACTTCTAGATCAATTTTGGTTAATTCTTGTCCACACTGCTGGACATATTTTCTGCTTCTTTGCATGCCTAGTGACTTTCAGCTGGAGGCTGAAGACTGCGAATTTTGCCCTATTCACACTTATCCAGCTGAAGTGACCTCAACAGTTTTTTTTTTTTTTTTTCAGTCCATCTACCCTTTTGAGCTTTGTTGTGATACTCAACTAAGTTACCTGGAAACACTCTGATCTTTTTGGTTCTTGATTTTAAGCTCTGTTAGGTGAGACCAGAAAGCAAAAATTTAAGGCTAATTTTGTATCCCTAGAGACACAAAACCCTTCTGTGGACTCTATGTAACGCTCTGAGCATGATACAGTTTGGCACTTTGATAAAGGGAATAAGAGGTATTCTGAGCCGTGTATGGACTCTAATATTTTCTTTCTGTAGAATTCTCTCCTCTCTGCTGCTTTGCCTTGTGGACGCTAGTCCCATGGTCCTCCTTGGACCCCTGGCTTCTCCAGAAGACCACCAGTTTCACCTGAACTACTCAAGGCAGCAAGCCAGGCCGATTCTAGACTTGCTTCATTTTTTTTTCAATCTCTCAGGGGTCACTATCTTTCCTTGCCTGGTGCCCAGTATATTGAAAACATTTCTCATATGTATTTTATCATCTGGCCTTTCTTTTTCTTTTTTTGGTAGATGTTTCAGGTAAGTGGTTAAATCTGTTCCCTGTTATTCCATCTTTGCCAGAAGTAGTAAGACTACAAATTTAAAACCCAAGTTACTATGGCATGCAAATGTCCCAAGGTGAAAGCTCACATTTCAAACACGTTCAAATTAAAACAAGGATCAAAACACTGTGGGACATGCACAATAATATATATGTCCATATGGGCATATTTACGCATAAGTTGGAAGTATAAACCTGTAAAACAAAATATAAGCAGGGTTCCTATCTTGATGGTGAAAATTGCACGATTTTAAAAATCGCACTTATGTTCAATATTTTCTTCACTAGGGAAAAAAATGAATCACCAGTAGTAGGATATGTATATTCAACCAACTTAAGAGCCTCCCTCCAGAGAAAAGTATTTTAAAAGCACAAATTATATTTATATCTAAAGCACAGTCTCCCTGAGATGACTATATCCTTCAACCACTGCATGAAGGTGTATGCAGGTGATGTAGGCAGCAATAAATAGCACTAATTACTTTCAGTGTTGTAAATTTTAAGTTTACATATTTTTTGGAAAAGCTCAGTATATGAAAAAAAAAATGTTTATCATCATTAGCCATCAGGAAGATTCAAATCAAAACCACATTGAGATACCACCTTACACCAGTTAGAATGGCCAAAATCAACAAGACAGGAAACAACGTGTGTTGGAGAGGAGGTGGAGAATGGGGAACCCTCTTACATTGTTGGTAGGAATGCAAGTTGGTGCAGCCACTTTGGAAAACAGTGTGGAGATTCCTTAAGAAATTAAAAATAGAGCTTCCCTATCACCCTGCAATTGCACTACTGGGGATTTGCCCCAAATATACAGATATAGTGAAAAGAAGGGCCATCTGTATCCCAATGTTCATAGCAGCGATGTCCACAACCACAAAACTGTGGAAAGAGTCAAGATGCCCTTCAACAGACGAATGGATAAAGATGTGGTCCATATACACTATGGAGTATTATGCTTCCATCATAAAGGATGAATACCCAACTTTTGTAGCAACATGGACAGGACTGGAAGAGATTATGCTGAGTGAAATAAGTCCAGCAGAGAGAGTCAATTATCATATGGTTTCACTTACTTGTGGAGCATAAGGAATAACACGGAGGACACTGGGAGATGGCGAGGAGAAGGGAGTTGGGGGAAATCTGAGGGGGAGAGGAACCATGAGAGACTCTGGACTCTGAGAGACAACTGAGGGTTTTGGAGGGGAGAGGGGTGGGAGGTCGGGTGAGCCTGGTGGTGGGTATTAAGGAGGGCACGTATTATGTGGAACACAGGGTGTGGTGCATAAATAATGAATCTTGGGACACTGAAAAAATAAGTAAATAAGTAAATAAATAAATAAATAAATGGTGTTATTTAAAAATATGTTGTTTCCTCATAGCTGCCATTAATTCTAAGTAGTAAGACTGCAAATGCACCTTTATTTTAATATTCCTTAATTTTCCTAACAACAGTGCAAAGGAAATCCGTATTTCTATCTTAGGCTATTATTCCATGAAGTGTTTCTTAAGGTAACATGTGACAATATTTCACAATGTATTATGTGAACAAAACTGGAAATCATGACTTTCTTAATTTGTTCTTCTCTCTCATAAACGTTGTTACCTTCCAAGTCAGCGACATCCCACATAGTTTTTTCTATACTCAAAATTCCTTTATAAAAGCTTTCTATCACAAACAGTACTGCTAACAAAGTCATTAATGATCTCACTCTTACTAATAAAATTCTCTATTTCTTTGTGCCTCAGACATTTTATCCTCACAGTATTATCTACGGCATGTTCTTTCCTTTTTAAAAAGCAATATATTCTCTCTGCTCCAGTGAACACTTTTATCTTTTTTGTAAACCATGCCCTCTTTCCAAAATTCATTAATCCCTGAGCTTTCCTCAAATGTTTCTGATCCAAAGGTGATACTGCACACTTTCCATTACAGAAGGTCTGTACGTTACTTGTTAATAGTGCAATTGTCTTTAACAGTTTTACCTTTCCTTTTCAAAATAGAGGTTGATGTACTCCAAAAAGGATAAAAAGAAAGGAATAAACACCAGTATTTGTCCCAATACTGTTATAGACCTCAACCCGTACTTCAGCCTTACCAATAAAACACGTTCCTTATTTTGACACTTTTTCGTCTTACTTCTTGAATATGCCTTTGCTTAAGGTCTAAATGATTGGCTGGAGCTTATATACGTTTAAACAGTTATATAGTACTAGTGGATCACCAGGCAGTTATCATTAGTTTGCTTTATCATGTATTCTGTCATTTTTGCCCTCTTTGCAAATCCTGTATTAGATATTCCTTGCTGAACATAGACAGTTTCCTATACATAGAGCTTGTAAGCAAAATAACTGCTGCTCAATGTCCTTCTTCTTCTTCTTTTTTTTTTTTTTAATTTCTCAGACTGGCATCAGATATTCAGCTTCTGTGTCCCTGAACGTCCATCTCTCAACAAGAAAATTCCTTAACTCTTCTGCATTTTACTCTGATTTGAACTTCAAGGTTTGGCAACGCTCACACCACCTAAAATTACATCTTCCTCCAAGTCCTCTGTATCCTGTGTTTTTCGGAAAATGTTTCTATACTTTTTCACATCCCCCTTTACCTATTCCTTCCCTTTGTAATACTACTGGAGTTATTCATTGATGTGGTTGGGCTCCATTAGTCCCAGAAACGCTTTAAGGGGATTCACATAACAATAAACTATATAGCAATATACCTTTTTCAAAATATGAATAATTAAAAACAGGATAAAAAATGAGAGTAGAAATAGCAGGTAACTCAAGGAGGTAGCATGGAAAATGTTTTAAGTGTAGTCCCCTTCATTTGGGCCTATCCTTTCTAACATCCAACCCAAAATGGAAATACAAATAAGTAATTTATACTGTCCAAAACATAGAAACTGAGGGCACTGTCTGGCAAAAAGTACTCTTTTACCTACTATAAGGAGAGCGCACCAGAGAAAGAGGCAGCTATATATAGAAATAAATAATACGTATAGAAATAATTATATACAAAAATTACTAAATATATATCTATTTCCCTTCTTTCCTTCAACTTCGGAGGAGGAAACAGTGTAGGTGACACGTGCTGCTCTTACCTTGTCCTTCCCATGAAGGCGGCGTGTGTCACAGCTCTCCCAGATGCTCAGCTCGCAGTCCGACTGGTGGCTTCAGTGGCTCAGAGGAATGCAAGGACTGTGCACCTTTCCAGGCAGTCTCCCTCTCAAGTTACAGTTCTCCCGCTCTGCTGAGCTTTTGAGGAAACTCCTCATCTCCAAAGCTCCCCTTGGGTTCACTTTCCTTCTTCCTGTCCCCTCCTGCATTGGCCCTATTCTTCCTCCTTGAGGGAGAGTGCCTCCAGATGTGTCCCCTGCCGGGACAGAAGCCTTCCAGTCCTGCAGTTCCATCAGTGTTCTCAGAATCTAATGGGACCTGGGCTAGCTTCCTCTTCCTCTTATTGTCCAGATGGAGGAACCGCATCCCCAAGAAATGTTGCGTGGCTGTGGAAAAAGAAGACATAAAACCCCATCTTCGTTATCATAACAATGCTGACTTTAGGCATTTGATAATTAAGAAAACCTATTATGAAGCAGGCATTCCCCACAGTGTTCACAGGATCTATTGTAAAATGTAAATCATCTCTCCCTGTTTGCCATGTTACTGCTGAATGAAGAGTTCTCTTGAGGGACTAAAAATGTGGCACCCGTGGCTGACGCATGCCAACAGAGTAAGACTGCTGAACCACAAGAGGCGCGAGTGTTAGGCTTCTCTCTGTTGTTGTTGTTGTTTTAAGTTGATAGATTCTCCTTTAGCAGATACCCTACCCCGTTTTTCCCCTTCCTTTTCCCATCACTTGTAACTCAGGTTATTCCTTGCCTCTCTTTCTAAGTTTACACACAATTTTCTCATATCCCACTGTCTCTGTGTGGCTCTGCATTTTGTCTTAGATCACTGCCTCTAGCGGAAGCATATTCTAATCAGGTGGCCAGTTCACTGCCATGGGCCCCAGAAATGCTAGCCTACGAGGGGAGAACTGAACCCTGGTGGGCACTGATAATTATACTATGAGTGGTAGCCCCCCTATTCAGTTTAAACTCTTGTGTATAAAACAGGTGTTCCGCTGGTCCCATCCCTGCAGGGAGGATCTGTGCCGGCTGCTGGAGACGCACAGACCCATCTTCATCACCTTCAAGGGACAGAAGTACAATTCCACACACCCCACACTCCACCTGCTGTGCCAGCACTGCCACCTGGTGCCCCTGCTGCTCTGGAAGCCCAGCTCCGTGGAACCTTCTTTGGGTTTTCGGAAAGAGCTACAGCTGGCATTGCCATGGAAGGTGTGGTGCAGAGTAACGGAGGAGACCCCCAGACCTGGCTGCGGGATAACAAGGACCCCATGCTAATTGTGCCAAGGCCACATCCTCCAGGGCCAGACCCTGCAAGGGGAGCTGGACCCCCGATCCTGATAGAGATCTGGGTGTTTCAGGTCCTATCTTACCTAGATAACAGCCATATTGGTGTGACTGACCCATAACATAACCTGAAGACTGGCAGAACAGACCTTCCACAGCCAATCACAGAGAGGGGGACATATCAGAAAGGGTAGGAAGGGCATAGACACAGCCAGGGACCAAACCTCTTGTAAGATTAACCACAAAGGGGAAGGGCACCAAAGGTATGGAGAAGGGGGAGGAAGAGACCCCATACCAGGCATCCCAAAGATGGGGCCCCTGCAGGGGAAAGATGAGTCCCCATAACATTTGGCTTTGAAAACAATGGGGATTAATTTGGGGTTTTACAACCAGTGGGGCTTAACTATGGGCACTTTAAAAATCAATGTGTCTAGCTCTGGGAAACTGAAAGGGCTAGAGAAAACGGAGTCCCTGTCCTTGAAGAGAAAGTTTAACAAACAGTTCCACTGAGATAGAAGCAGAGAGGCAACAGTTTGAAAAACACCTAGAATATCCATGAAGACAAGTTATTATTTACAAATCCCAAAACTGCACTGGAGGGGCAGGGATCTTTAGGGGACTTCTCCAAGAAAGAAAGAGCTAGACACTTCTCTCCTCGTTCCCTGCCTAAATAGCTGGACATTTGTAAAAATCAGCATGAACCCTCTTCACCTACCTTGCTAACAAGGCCAGCCCCCACATTCTTCTATGGATTAGCTTTACCCAAAAAGCTCTTGCAACAACACATCCTTCAAACAGCCCCAGCAGGGACAAGCACCACTCAAAAGTTACTCATGTCCTAAGGAGAGAAGGTAACTACACACAACAGTGTGACTGCAGCCCCAGCAGATGGACTGGGGGCAGGCATCTGGTTTGACTGCAGGCTGCACCCACCAACAAGAGCCTCTCAAGGGACAATGAAGGGAGAGTGCCCTTCGGTTAAGTGCAACCAGAACCCCAGTGGACAGGCTGAAAGCAGACATCTGGTTTCAGTCTGAACACCATCCATCGACAAAGCTATGGCAGCCACAGACTGGCTCCCTAACAACAAAGGGACCAAATCCTGCCCAGCGCATGCACAACAGGCAAAGTGGGCCACTGCAGCAGACCATGCTGAAGGCAAATGTGGTGCAGCCCCAACAGTAGGGTACATGCAACCTACAAAGGAGACAACCCTGAGGCACCTAATTCTGGTTAACAGGAGACCTGGTGTTATAGGCAATCACAGGACCGCTTATCCATAATGCTACTACTTTCAAAATTGGGACATGCAGCTAACTTTTCTAATGTTTAGAGACACAAAGATTTAGACAAAATGAGGAGACAAAGGAATATATCTCAAATCAAAGAACAGGATAAAATCACAACAAAAAAGCTAACAGAACAGAAATATGCAATATATCTGATAGAGAATTCAAAGTAATGCTCAAAAAGGTCTCACTGGACTTGAGAAAAGAGTGGAGGATCTCAGTGAGACCTTCAGTAGGAAGAAAGAAAATGTAAAAAGAACCAATCAGAGATAAAGAATTCACTAACTGGAATTAAAAATACACTAGCGGTAGTAAATAGCAGATTAGAGAAAACCAAAGAAAAAATCAGCAGCATGGAAGACAGAGTAATGGAAAATAACCAAGATGAACAGCTAAAATAATAAATAAATAAATTTCAAATAAAATTAAAATAAGATAAGATAAAAGGACTAAAAGTGAGAATAGCTTAAGGAAATTCAGTGACATCATTTAGCATAATAACATTTGCATTACAGGGATCCCAGAAGAAGAAGACAGAGGAAAGGGGGCAGAAAATTTATTTCAAGAAATAAAAGCTGAAACTTCCCTAATCTAGAGAAGGAAACAGACATCTACAACCAATAAGCACAGAGAGCCCCCAACAAAGTCAACCCAAGGAGGTATTGATCAAGACACATAATTAAAATGGCAAAATCAGCAAGAGAGAAGAGTTAATGCAAGGTAAACCCAATATGGCTATCAGCTGATTTTTCCACAGAGACTTTGCAAGCCATAAAAGAGTGGCATCATATAATAAAAGTACTGAAAGCAGAATACCTGCAACAAAGAACACTCTGCCTAGCAAGATTATCATTCAGAATAGAAGGAAAGATGGAGTTTCCAGGGCAAACAAAAGTTAAAGGAGTTCATCACCACTAAGCCCGCTTTACAAGAAACATTAAAGGAAATTCTTTGAGTGGAAAGAAAAGGTCATAATCAGGAGTAGGAAAATTATAAAAGGCCAAGAAGCAGACTCTTAATTATTAAGAACAAACTGATGTTTACCAGAGGGAAGTGGGGGAGGGGATGGGTCAAACAGGTGATGGAGATTAGGAAGTGCCCTTGTGATGAGCACCAGGTGTTGTGTGGGTGTTGAATCACTCTATAGTACACCTGAAACTAATATAACACTATATATTAACTAACTGGAATTCAAATGAAAAGTTAAAAAAGAACATTACTGAAGGAAAAAAGTTTCAAATGTAAAATAAAAATAGTAGGTTATTCACTTATAAAACCAGTAAGGAGGGTAAAGCACAATATCAAAATATGTATAAAAATCTGTCAAGGGGGGCGCCTGGGTGGCTCAGTGGGTTAAGCTGCTGCCTTCAGCTCAGGTCATGATCCCAGGTCCTGGGTTCAAGCCCCACATCGGGCTTTCTGCTCAGCAGGGAGCCTGCTTCCTCCTCTCTCTCTGCCTGCCTCTCTGCCTAGTTGTGATTTCTCTCTGTCAAATAAATAAATAAAAAATCTTTAAAAAAAAAAAAAGAAAAAAGAAAAATCTGTCAAGGGAGTCACAAATAAAAGGATATAAAGATATAAAGTATTATATCATATACATAAAATATGAAAGGGAGGGAGTTTAAATTTAGTGGTTTAGGATAGGTTCAAACTTAAGTGACCCTCAACGTAATATAGACAGCTATATGTATAAGATCTCCAAATGAACCCAATGGCAACCACACATCAAAAGGAATCCAAGTATGTCACTAAGGGAAGCCATCAAACCACAAGGGAAGAGAGCAAGAGGAAAAAAAAGGAACAGAAAAGAACTACAAAAACAACTATAAAACAACAAAATGACAACAAGTACATAACTATCAATAATGGCTTTCAATGTAAATGGTCTAAATGCTCCAATCAAAAGACCTAGGGTGACAGAATGGATAAAAAAAAAACCAAGATGCCTCTATTTGCTGCCTACAAGAGACTCACTGCAGACCTAAAGGCACATGCAGACTGAAAGTGAAGGGATGAAAAAACAGCTATCATGCAAATGGAAGTGACAAGAATGATGGGGTAGCGATTCTTACATCATACAAAACAGACTTTAAAGCAGACTGTAACAAAGGACACTACATAGTGATAAAGGGAACAACCCAATAAGAATATTTAACAACTATATATACTTACGCTACCAACACTGGAACACCTAAATACATAAAGCAACTATTAACAAACATAAAGGAAAAAACTGACAGTAATACAATTAAAGTAGGGAACTTTAACATCCCCTTACATCAATGGATAGATAATCCAGACAGAAAATCAATAAGGAAGTGGCTTTGAATGACATACTGAACCAGATGGATCTAACAGCTATATTTAGATCATTTCATCAGGAAGCGACAGAAGATTCTTTCCAAGTACATGTGGAACATTCTCCAGAATAGATCACATGTTAGGCCATAAAACAAGTCTCAGGGGTGCCTGAGATGATTTTGAGGAGAGTTAGTTCTGAGGGAAGTAGGAGCTAAGTAAAATCAACTTGACACAGTAAGAAAGCCTTGGTTATTAGAAAGAATGGTCAAGGTGTGCCTGGGTGGCTCAGTGGGTTAAATCCTCTGCCTTCAGCTCAGGTCATGATCCCAGGGTACTGGGATAGAGCCCTGCATCAGGCTCTCTGCTCGGCAGGGAGCCCGCTTCCCCCTCTCTCTCTGCTTGCCTCTCTGCCTACTTGTGATCTCTGTCTGTCAAATAAATAAATAAAATCTTAAAAAAAAAAAGCCTCAACAAATTCAAAAAGATTGTCATACCATGTATCTTTTCTGACCACAACTGTATGAAACTAGAAATCAATCACACAGAAAAATCTGGAAAGAACATGATACATGGAAGGCTAAATAACATACTACTAAACAATGAATAGGTCAACTAAGAACTCAAAGAGGAAATTAAAAAAAAATACACAGAGACAGATGAAAAATGAAACCACAATGGTTCAAAATCTTTGGGATGCAACAAAAAACTGTTCTAAGAGGGAAGATTATAGCAATGCAGGCCTACCTGAAGAAACAAACAAAAATCTCAAATGAACAAACTAACCTCACACCTAAAGGAGCTAGAAAAAGAACAAAGCCCCAAACTAATAGAAAGAAGGAAATAATGAATATTAGAGCAGAAATAAATGAAAAAGTGACTTAAAAAACAATAGAACAGACCCATGAAACCAGGAACTGGTTCTTTGAAAATATCAGTAAAAAATGACATGCCTTTAGCCATACTCATTATCAAAAGAGAGAGAGAGAGAGGACTCAAATAAAATTAGAAATGGAGGAGAAATAACAACCATCACCAAAGAGATACAAAGGATTATAAAACAATATTATGAAAAATTACATGCTAACAAACTGGACAACCTAGAAAAAAAAATACATTCCTAGACACATATAACCTTCTAAAAATGAATCAGGAAGAAATAGAGAATTTGAACAGACTGATCAGTAACATTGCAACTCAATCAGTAATCAAACAATTAACAACAGCAACAAAAATCCCAAAACAGATTGCATCACATTTGAATTCTACCAAACATTTAAAGAAGAGTCAATACCTATTCTTCTGAAACTATTCCAAAAATAGAAGAGGAAGAAAAGC